TGTGTGTGTGTGTGTGTGTGTGTGTGTGTGTGTGTGTGTGTGTGTGTGTGTGTGTGTGTGTGTGTATGTGTGTGTGTGTGAGCATCTTCAGTCTTATCTAGCAACTCTCCCTCTCTCTTTTCCCAGGTGCAATCAGTGTTATCTATCAAGCGTCCCTCCATATATTGCGATGAAGACGACAACCCACATCATGATAATGTCTAATTTACCATCTATGGCAGCCAAATGGAGAAATGGTTGGATGGGATGGAATAGGATTTGATTGGAATGGATCAGAACGAATGCCACTGGAATTGGTTGACTTGGGTCCGGTTGGGTTGGATCGGATCGGATCGGACCAGGTCGGATCGGATTTGGACTGGAGTGGATTAGGTTGGGCTCAGTTGGGTTGGGTTGGGTTGAATTGAACTGGGTTGGGTTGAGTTGGGTTGGATTGGTTTGGACTGGATCAGGTTGGGTCGGGTTGGGTTGGGTTGGAGTTGACATGGGTTGGAGTGGGTTGGAGTGGGTTGGAGTGGGTTGGAGTGGGTTGGAGTGGGTTGGAGTGGGTTGGAGGGGAATGGATTGGATTTCATTACATTGGATTAGGCTTGGGCTCACTTGGTTTGGTTTCGTTTCGTTTGGCTTGGGTCGGGTTGGGTTGTATTGGGTGGGAGTGGGTTGGGTGGGTGGTTTTGGATTGTATTGTTTTGGGTTGGATTAGGTTGGGTTTGACTGGTCTGGGTTGGGTTGCATTGAAGTACCTTGGGCTGGTTTGGGCTGGTTTGGGTTGGGCTGGGATGGGTTCGGTTGGAGTGCGTTGGATCCGATTAGGTTGGGTTTAGTTGGTTTGGAACTTTGGTTTGGTTTGGAACTTGGTTTGATTTGGTTTGGTTTGGTTTGGAACTTGGTTTGGTTTGGAACTTGGTTTGGTTTGGAACTTGGGTTTGGTTTGGAAATTGGGTTTGGTTTGGAACTTGGTTTGGAACTTGGTTTGGAACTTGGTTTGGTTTGGTTTGGTTTGGTTTGGTTTGGTTTGGGTGGGTTGCTCTGGCTGGGTTGGAGTGGTTGCGCTGGGTTGGGTTGGGTTGGTGGGCAGTCTCTGCACCCACGAAGTTCTGCCTGAATCCTGCCTCTTTTATGTTTTTCAAGAAGTTGGCAGAATTTGGTTGGGGAGGGGTGCGGTGGGGGTTGGGAGGAGGAGGGGTGGGCGATGGAGGAATCATCATCCGCATCATCGCCATCTTCATCATTCCACCTCAACGTGAGCAGGACTGCACGATTGACGAATCATTCATCATTATTCCATAGTCACGATCATCATCACCGTCATCGTCATTTTTTTAAAGGAGCCTATGCACAGGCTGCCCACCGGGTGTAAAAATCCCCAGTTGAACCGGGGCTGTGGCCGCCCGGAGCCCCGACTGGGTGACCCACATGGCCGGGCAGGCTTGCGGGGTGGGTGTAAGTGGCCCGTTTGTCTGGAAAAATAACCCAAGGGGCCAAGACAAGAGTGGGTGGGTGTCTTTTGGTTAGTGATTCTCACTCTGTTTGAGCTGCTGGATCATGTACATCTTCCCAAAGAGAAAGGAAAAAGGGAGCCAAATGGGGGCTTACCTTGCTCTGCATGGGGGTTTGACTGTCTTGCTGTAGGTACCGGAGCGAGTAAGGAGATTGACTTCACGGTTGAAGAAGTGGATAGGCTTGCGCACGAAGCCCACAAGTGAACGAAAGGTAATTACTATTTTTTCTTTTTTTATATATAATTTGTTTTGATTTTTTTTTGTTTTGCATCTAATCTTCTCTTTATCTGTTCCTCCCATGGTAACCCCGGACCCGGACACCGGACACTTCCGGACTGTCTTCCGGACCGTCTTCCGGACCAGTGTCTGGACCGGTCCGGACTGTCCGGTGATCCGGACATCACCGGACACCGGACAGTCCGGACCGGT